TTGTGGCAGTGCAAATCCACATGTTTAATCTCTGCATGAATAAAAAAAAGAATTTATTTTAAAAATTTGGATTGAGGAAATAAATTTTTTCTTAATTTGAAATTTTCAATAATTTATCTCCCTTACCCAATTCCAATATTTCCAATATTTCTTTAAATATGTCTGTTAGAGTATATTTCAATAAAACAGAATTGTCAAAATCTAATTTTTCTTTAAATTGATCAAACGTGGGAATTCCCTGAAAAGAAATCATCCAAATTATATATAGAAGGGACTGCCACAAATTTAGATCTAGAAGGGGCAAGTAATAATTTAGAATGGATAATGGCATTGCTCATAATAATCTGGACGATGGTCTAACACTACTAAAAATTATATCCCATGCCTTGAGGGTTACCTTTGTTGAAGGAAGTGTGTTAGCCTTAGGATGTCCTTTTAAAGGCTACCATAACAGTTCTTTAATAGAATTGGATTAAATCTTTTCAGCTTTCATTTCCAGTCACCTCAGCCTGTTATGATCCATGTTAAATTTAAAAGTAGAAGCTACGTTATCTGCATTACAACAGTTCCTAAAATCTGGGACACCGAGACCACCATTTACCTTTAAATGTTGCGTAGTTATCAACTGAATCCTTCTCGGTTTATTATTCCAGATGTATTTGATCAATGTTGAGTGTATCTTGTTAAAAAAGCACAATGGAATGGACAAAGAAATTGTTCTAAGGTAGTATAATATCTTGGGCAGTTTCGACACCAGAATAGATGAGGCCTTGTTGCCTTTTAAATAAAATGTTTGTTTGAGGCGTCTCATCATAAATGAATTTGATTGATTTTTATTTTGGCAACTGATATCATCGCTGATAATGAAGCAGATGGGCCAAATGTATTTGCTTGATTTAAATTGTATAGCTCTTTTTTAAGTGTTTTTAGATTGTTTATTATAGCTTTCTTCAGATGAGACACACTTTGCATGAAATGGCCTTGCAAAACAGCCTTCTGCGCATTCCAGTTCACCCCATCAGGAACCTCAGAAATATTATTGTCCTCATAGTAGTTCTATAATACAATCTCTGCATGAAGTTTATTCTTTGTATTCAAAACTAGTCTCCTACTTTCCATACCTAATTTAGAGTCAAAGAGAAAGATTCATCCAATAGTACTATAGGAGCGTGATCCAATATCCAAAATCAGATCTTAGGACGTGTGGTACTGTAACCTCGTTTACCATAAGCCTATCAATCCGAGAGTACATATTGTAGTGTACTGAGTGATAGGTAAAATTATTTTCACCTGCATGGAACATTCTCCACGTATCATATAGTCACCTAATTTCCATTCTCGATTTGGAGTCAAAGAGAAAGAGTCAGCCTATATTACTATAGGAGCATGATCTGACCATCCAATAGCCAGAATATCAGATCTCAAGACGTGCGGTACTGTTGCCTTGGTCACCATAAACCTATCAATCCGAGAGTACATCTTGTACTGTATTGAGTGATGGGTAAAATCCATTTTGCCTGCATGCAACATTTTCCACGTATCGTACAAATCATGAGCAAGCATTAATTTTGAACAGAATTTAGCTAACTTCAGACTCTCATTCCTTTTTGAGATAATATTCCTGTCTCTGACTATATCTAACTCACTACCTAATACAAAATTAGTATCTACACATATAACTAATCTCCCTTTTGCATATTATAAAACATCCATCAACGTTTTTGAAAACACTAATTGGTCCCGAATTAGGAAAATAGACATTTATAATCGTATATACAACATTATTGATCTAGCCCATCCATAGTATCTACCCTCATCATCCACATTTGTGTTAAAGAATAACGATACTCCCCTAGATATAGTTCTATATAGCAAAAGGTATGAAGTGGGAAAATCTTACCCATTAAATTTGGCATCCTATCAGCTTTCAAATGCGTTTCTTGAACCCATACTATATCTGACTTATGGTTCTGATATCTTTAAACAACAACCTCCTCTACTGTGGGTTGTTCAGGCCTCTCACATTAAATTCCATTAATTTCAATTCCATTTCAAAATGTTATAAAAAAGAAAAATGCTAATGATCTACCCATAACAAATGGCATAAGAATAAAGAGAGTGTCTAAAGCACAGCGCACAAGAGGAAACCCATAAAAATCTGAAATCAGAGCAAACAATATTTCAAATATTATCAGCCAATATATCGTGACATAGAGCCATAGTATAATATATATGTGAAACGCATTATAGAGAATCAGTATTATGCAAATTAACTGGTAAAGTGCAAACATAGAATTTGCAAAAGCATTGAATAGTCTCCTCTCCTAAAAAACATTTGCAGGCCCATAAGGTGGGGTAGGGGGTACAAAGTTAACTCGGACAGACAAGCGCCAGTGTATACAAAGATACACCATCATTTGAGACACTCAAAAAGCAGAATTATAAAGTAATATATACCATATATTAAAACATACTTAGAATGTAACTTACAAACAAACTTATCCCAATATAATAAAAATAAAAAATTTACAGTATTAGGATTTTTCAAACCAGTCAATAAAAAGAAAACATATCAAAATATGTTCTGTTCATTTCCTTGGGGCTCCCTGTGGCAAAGGTTAATCCACTGTCAATATTGCAATAAATTCCTGAATTTCTTCTGGAGAGGATATACGTAATAAAATTTTGGAGAGGTAATTTTTTTCTATAGAGAAGTGAAATTAATTGGAAAGTGATGTGTAAAATTTCTCAGCACAACAAAAAAAATAGGGAACCCAATAAAATTATTCTTGTAAATCATAGTTTATGGACATATGCATTAATTTATTATTTCATATGTTCCTTTCTATGAGATTTTATTCAGCCCCAAATGAGGCTCCCAGAGACAATATTCTGAGACTGTATAACATTTAATGAGCAATTGATGTCTAAAATGAAAACAGGGATTTAAACAACCTGATTAATCTAAAAACGCACAAATTTTTCAAGACATATCCATCAGCATTACTAAAAAGAAGAGAATTTCAGATACTTAGAAAAGTTCTCCAAAATATAAAATATAGATGGGGCTTTCCCGTTAAAGTTTCATTCCATTATCAAGGTCAAAATTATATTATAACAACACCAAAAGAGGGGCAAGATTTTCTATCTGCCATGGATTCAGAAAAAAACTTTTACACAAAGATCCCTAAGAAAATCTTGTTGAAAAGAACATATGAAATACTTCATTTTTTTAAAATGCTGCAAGGATTTTGGGGACAGTTGTCCTTTAAGACTAACCAATTAGTATTTTTTTATTATATGATCTCACAGTAAGAAAAGCAATGTTTTCCTATACTTGTTATATAAAGATATAAATGTGCATCTGTGAGCTCCAATGTGATTGTGAGTCATAAATCAGGACTCACAAGCACAACTCTTTCTTTGGTAGTTTGGTTACCCCAGTTGTTCTTAACCACTCATCCAAAGGACTAGGGCAAGGGTAGGCAAGTTGTGGACTACGTCTCTTGCAATGCTCTTACAGTCATAATGGCAAAGCAACAGGAGAAATGTAGTGCATAACATCTGGAGTGCCGAAAGGTTGCCTACCCCGACACTAGGCAAGAAATGAGGAGGCTCCCTTCTTGTTAGCAGATGTTACTAGGGATTTCCTACTCTACTTTTTAGGTTTTATTTGATTATTTTTTCACTTGATAGACAACTGTTTATGAACTAATTATATGAACTACAGATAAATGTGTCATAAACAAAAGTATTGATAGGAATTTTGAATTTGATGCTGAGATTTTCTCTATTTTCTTTTTTTTTTTAATTCTTTATTTTATTTATGCATAGTTTGAACAATCATGTTTGTACCGCCACAATAGCAGGTGCAAGCAGGTTTGAAAGCATACATTAACATAGGTATGGCATTGTAATACATAGCACAGTTTTTTTTTTATATTCAAGATAGGAGACATGTTAAAGGTTAAACCATGGATAATAGTTACACAAAAGAAATCCGCTTGTCTCAGAGTTTAGTAATGTATTATACTGATTAAGCTTACAGCCTAGGAACTATCATGCTAGCTGAAAGTATCTGAGGCTTGCTTGGTACATATGGTAACATCGCTGCTCTATCTAAACTTAGAATTGGCATGCTGTCACGAGCTACCAGAATGTATACATGCAGTATAATCATAATTGCATTTTAATCTATGAATGACACACACGCTTTTGCAGGCTAGTCTCGCTTAGCTGTTAGGTTACTTATATTGAATCTGCGCTTCGCTGCCTTATAGCAAGCTTGAAAGATGAAGCAAGGGCAAAAACTTAAAGCATAGTTATAGAAGGCAGACAAATATGCTAGGCAATATGGCACGGTTGGCGTTCGCTTAAAATATAAAAAAAGAAAAATTATGCCACCGTGTGTAACAAATAACCCTGGGTTCCGAACAGAGACTCCTCTCCCAGGGGAGAGGGGAACTTGATCTTGATGGTTGTTGGTCAGGAGGCAGAGAGTAGGCAGCCCCAGTCCTCATGCAGAGAGCAGCCAACTCCCATCACTGGCAGGTCACAGTGATGTTTTCCAGCTCTGTTCGAATAAAGATGCTGTGGTGTGGCTTGTCAGGTAGTGTCAGACAGTTGCGGGTGGGAGCTGGGTATGTGTGAGGTCTTCACACTGATCCTCGGCTGTCGTGATAGTCTGAGTACCCCTGTATCCGCTTGCCAGTCAGATGGTCTCCGCTCAAGGTCCTCGGTGTCGATTGGAGCACCCCAGGTCGGGACACAGGATAGGTAGGTTGCTTTAATGATTTCTCCCTGTGTTGCCCGTAGTGAGCGCCAAGAGCCCCGAGGAGGGGCCGCCCTCTCCACAGCGTGCCTTTCAGGCTCAGCCGCCATCTTAGGTTGCAAAGTCCCGTTCGGGGTAGTTCCCCAGGGTAGGCCGGGATAACCCCCGCCGGCCCAGAGGGGGGGGGAGCAGGGCCATCACCCCATTGTGTTAGGGGACCTCCGTGTTGCAGCCAGGTAGGATAGCAGGGCAGCGGCCGTCCGCCCCACTCACCACCCGGATAGGTTGACTAGGCCTCGGTCTCGAAGCTCCGTTTTCGCGCCAAACACGGGCCCAGAAGCGGGTTGCTGACTGATCTCCGGTCCTAGCACCTCATAGTGCAGTTGCCTGCCGTGACTCAGTGCTAGAAAGTGCGTTTTGGGGCCATATTGCCCGAAAATAGCGGGAGCTATAGTGCCATGCGTCCACTCTGCTCGGCGGTCCGGCCCCGCCCCCTGATTTTCTCTATTTTCATAACATGAACAAACAAAACACAGAAAGGGGTATATGAAGTAAAAGGAGGGGTATTGAAAGAGGAGGGAGGTGCAGTGTAAATATATAGTGGAACTGTACACACAATGCCATTCAACCACAGCCAGATACAACAGTGTATATCAATGAGCAAATTCAAATTTTACTAAATAGCTCTCTCAGAAAAGAGGTTAATAGAAAGGCTATGTTTTTGTGAAAACAGGCTGTAACTTTCCATAGAAATGTGTCATGATATCATATGCTTTTACATGCCAAAAAGTATTTACCAAATGCCACATTCCATTCCCAGGACAGGAGTACAGTGATCATATTGTATTTACAGAACCATTTATTGTTTGCCATCATTTGCTACTATTTCTAATTGTTTTACATCGCTTAAATTTGTAACATTAAAAAAGAAAAAAATTTACAATATAAAGCATCGGGATAGTCATTTATGCACATTAGGGATGTACAATGTTTATTTTTTAGTATTATAATGATTACTAGTAAAATAATCTGCAGCGCTTTACAACTATAGAAAGGGAATATTTGACAAATAAATGATGTAGTAAAATTAACCGAGTCAATGTGTAAGTATATTGCATTTGCTTAGTTTATATTTTTTGTAATTATAATTCAGTTGCTGTTCTTATTATAGCTTGGTTAGAATATGTTTCCTTGCTATTTTTCCAATTGAAATTATTCCCATTAATTTAACATCACATGTTCACTTGGGAATGCTATCTGTAAGCTTCATAATATACCAAATAATTGTATTTGTTTTTCTATCTACAATGCTGCATCATTTTTCCTATCCTGTCTTTGTTATCAGCTGTTCTGTACCATCAGATTCTCATAATAAACCTTACCATAGGGAATAGGAACACTATTTTCCCAGGATACTGCAGCAAAATATTTCCACATGCAGCTGTGGTTGAAATAGTTCCAACAACATATGACAGAATTTATTTTAAAAATAGTGGGAACAATGCCAGTAAGCAGGTGTTGGTTTAAGGAAACTACTAATGTTCATTTAAATCTGGGAGGGTAGAAACCACAGAAAATACAGATGATTTCAGTCTTCTTTACATATATATTACACATTATTTATTGGTAACAGTACTTCGAGGAAAAATGTCTGTCTATTTATTCTAGAAAAAATATGTATTATTTTTTTTTACCATAGTTTTTTTTTTTTTTTTTTTATAACACTACAATATAGCTAAATAAGGCAGTGGGCAAAATCCAATTAAGCAAAACAAGAAGAGAATTAATGAACAGAGTTAAAGGGGGAAAGTGGAAAAGATGGAAAAGAGAGGGAAATGGCAGGTAATTATTGGTGTTAATCTTCTTCCGAAATTCATGTTCGGGAATTTATTTAATATGCTTGGATACGCCTTTCGTATAATTTCAGAATTTTACATAAAGATTATAAATAATATTAAAATATATCATGGATAAAAATATATAATATTAAATTTTTTTTTATATTAAATCATTTGAAAGCATATCCAACAATATTAAATTGAGGCCTCTATCAGTAGATGTGGGAAGGCGGGTGAAGTTCTGGGTTTTTAAAAGTATAACAGACTGCCCTCGGTCCAGGAATATCCAAATCTGAGCGCCTACTGGAGATTGACATTTTTTTTATTTTTTTAATGAGTAATGATTTTCTTAGTTTCTATGACTTGGTAACTGAAGCAATTTTTCCCCATATTTGTTTCATTATGATAGATAGACAGAATGACGGACAGGGCAAATATTCACAATTTTGCTTAGAATGTCTGCAAAATTGCAGGACTATTCGCTGGAGCAGGAAAAAAAAAGCCAGTTATGCTTTTAGTTTGACTATTTTGCCCTAAATTTGAAATTAACTTTGAATTTGATTTCCCAACAAATCTCACTTGAGTCAATAACCCTGTTAGTATAGGTAATGAAAAAAATAATGAATTAATTGTTTCTCATATTTGTAGGGTTGTGATCAATTTGATGAGGTATAGGACAACATTTTAAAGCTAAAAGTGTGCAAAATATGGTTCACATATTTTATATAGTTATTAGCAGCTATCAAAACTAAAACTGCTATACAATAGTATGTCATTGTAAAAAGTAGACAGCCAATGATATCTACCTAGAAAACCCATAAGTCAGTTCTGCTTTCAGTTTGGCTATTTTGGCCCCACATTTGAAATTCAAAATGTGAATACCCAACAATTCTCACTTTAACGAATAACCATATAAAAAAGGATATATTTGTAAAAAGTAGACACCCAATGATAATTACCTAGTGTTAGGTATGTTTATTATTTTTATTGCCAAAGTTAGCGTTAATATTTGTTTGTGTGTGAAAAATACTTTCACTGACGATATCATCGTTATAATACATTTTACTGTTTTGAAACACTAATATTTGTGTTCAGCAAAGTCTCCTGAGTAAAACAGTACCCCCCATGTACAGGTTTTATGGTGTCTTGGAAAGTTATAGGGTTAAACATAGTGCTAGCAAATTAAATTCCCTATACTTTTGGCCTGGGTTGTTAGGCAGGTCCCGCAAATTGTAATTAATAAAATGACCTAATTATGTAAAAATATTACGTAAATATATACGTAGAATTTATTTATATATATATATACATAGATATGTATGTATATATATATATATACATAGATATGTATATATATATATATATATATATATATATGTAATTCAGAAAAAAAGTTTATATATATATATATTAACATCAAAATACAGTTAGAACGAAATTACACATATATATATTTTTTAATTAATAATTTTTTATTATTTTTATTTTTTAACGTATTTACATGTTTTTTTATATTATATATAAAAATATATATAATTATAATTATATATATATTTAATCAATATCATTGTACGTGTATTTTGATATTAATATATGTATATATATAATTATATTATATTATCTAAGTATATTTTATTTTAAACTGTGTTTTAACATTTTGTTTTTACCAATAACAGGCAGCAGGGGGAGTACTGTCATTACAGGCACTCCCCCTGTTGGCATTGCTATGGACAGCCAGGTAAGTGAATAGGATGGCAGGGATGTTCTATGCTGCCTGCCGACGTTTAGGACCGGGTTCCCAATGACGGCATTGAATGCCCGCCGTCCTTAAGGGGTTAATGTAAACACAGCCTTTTCAGAGAAAAGACCATTTTTACATTGCTTCGTAGGGACATCTCCAGTGGCCATTCCTCAAATGGCCACTAAAGGTGCTTCCTGGGTCAGTGCTGCACAGTGTGCAGCACTGACATTCAGTGTATCGAAGCTCTGCATGGAGACACTGAACTTTTCCTATAGAGATGCACTGATTCAATGCATATCTATGAGGAGATGCTGATTGGCCAGGATAGCGCTTGGCCACACCCTAAATCCACCTCATTGGCTGAGAAAATCAGAATTGACTATCCCAGCCAATCCAATTCTTTCCTATGAGAAAGCATTGTGATTGGCTGAGTTCATCAAATCTGATGATGTCTGCAAAGGAGGTGAATTTAGGGCAGGGCCAACACCAGCGGACCCACACAGTGCTGGAATAAAGATAAGGAAAATGTATTTTTAAGCGGAATAAAGGGCCACCTAAATAGTTAAACACTATAGAGTTAGGAATACACATTTGTGTTCCTGATCTTAAAGTGTTCCTATAAGTCTATCTTTTTTATTTTCATCTTTTCAGTCTTTATGAACAGGATTGGCTGCGTACTTTTCCTAGTTATAAAAATGTAGTTCAGATTGTGCTGTCACTGTCTCTACCTCAATAAAAAAAATGCTCAATAAAATACAGGTTGAAATAAAAAAATCTTCTTTATTGCTAATAGGTATTCTTTGGACATTATATGACATTCTGGAAATAATCCAGATGTTACATGTATATATAATAAAGAGAAGAAAAAATAATTATTAATGCAGTTAGATCCTTGTGTGAACAAACTGTTACTATCACTACCCTGATAAAACAAAAAGAAAACTATTGAGTTACTACCGCTCTTTGACATGAAGCTTGCTCTACTAATATGGAATTATATTTTCTATACATATTTATCAATTATATAACTTCATTGTATATTTTAACAATAACTGTGCTATGTTTCCAGGGAATCCGTGGTGATAATGGGCTTCCTGGGCCACGCGGTCGTCAGGGCATTAAAGGACAGCAGGTACCAGTTCTATATTTAGATTTATTTTTAGATACCCCAGTATTTGATCTTTTGTGATTGTAATTATGCTGTTATTTTTATAACTGGTTTACTTAATATTTTATGGTTTGTTAAAAGGGAGAGCTGGGGCCAGAAGGAGAGAGAGGACCAGTAGGTGAAAGAGGAAAGAAAGGAGGAGCTGTAAGTATATACTTTGGCTTAATGGTAAAATCATCTGCTCAGTGAAATTATCATTGTAGTTCATTGAACAGATTAACAAACATGCATTATCTCACTTGGACAGGAATACAATTAACCAAAACTACAGTGAAATCTCAAATACAATTATTCGAAGCAGATCTAAAAATAACTATATATATATACATATACACTGGCTAAAAAAATATTTAGCCTGTGTTATAATTTAAAAAACATGATATTTGTGGTAATATGCCGTATTTTAAAAATTATTTAAGGCAGGCTTCCCCAAACTCCGGCCCTCCAGATGTTGCTGAACTACAACTCCCATGATGCTCAGTCTATCTATTTCATTCATAGAATCATGGGAGTTGTAGTTCAGCAACATCTGGAAGGCCAGAGTTTGAGGAAGCCTGATATAAGATATGGTTCCAACCCTTTTTCAGATGAATGTATTAGGAGTACACGTGTAGCAACATATTGAAATGTTACCCTATACTCTAGATCACTACAGGCCAAAAAGCAAATCCCTGGATGTTGTAGAACTACTACTCATGCAATGTTTT